ATTTGCTGTTTAATATTATTCACTGCAAACCACACTGTAAAATAGGATCCCTGCCAATAAAATGATGGTCAATTATACAGAAAAGAAACTATCTAGCTTGTAAAATAGAATCACACACATAGAAAGTGAGTAATTAATGCACACTGATCTTCCAAGGAGTTTCGGCTCATACCTGTGGCCCCGGGCAGGTTTTAAGCAGACTCTGTTCCATTCTCAAGTATCTTGGCATAGACAATAAATTATATATCATCGTCCTATAGTTATGACTAATGAAGCTGATGAACCAAATTTCTACAACTATCTCCCCCTTAATACTCTTCGGTCACATCTCCAAGTGGCATTTAGGGAAGCAATTTGTGCTCCTTCTTGTAATAATATCTGAGGAGCTCTTAGACATTTTTGCCCCCATGGAGTAATAAATATTTAGAGTTGGGATCAGTCATTGCTTTTTCCCCAGCAGCCAAGGCAGTGCCTAGAACTCATGCATGTTTATTGAATGGAAACGGAATTAATGAATATTTCTGATAACCAGTGGTATAATCTATCTGGTGTGTCTATTACTTTGTGCCTATATTCTTGAGCTGGTGAGGAGCTGTGCATGTGAATAAGAGTCTTGCCTGCCTGGACTTTATCCCGCCTCCTGCCATGTCCTTTTTAGGGACTGGGGCTTTCACTGTTCTTCCCCAACTTCAGCCTGTCAGCTTGGCCGTCCAGGTAGCAAACAGTATTCTGTCTCCTTGGAGGAGCCTCTTCACATTTTAATTAAGCAACAGGTCCCTTTGCAGTGGCCTTATGTATGCACAGCTGAGGGGCGTGGCATAATACCCTTGTTTCTTGTCTCTCTGTGCAAACAACTGAAGTATCTGGGGCAAGATCCATAACCAGGAACTTCTGGTGAAGACTCTATTCCTCGTTCACTTATACTTGTGGGCTACAATTTTTGCAATCATTTGACATATTGTTTTGTTTACCCTGCCACAAATAAAAATTATCTGTAGAAAGGGAAAAAATAAATAATATTATTTAAATTCTGAAGAAAAACACCTTTTTGGGTCTTCTTAACTGTGTTCTGATTTCAGAGATAGTATTTAAATTATTCTCTGCTGCTTTTCAAAAGATATTTAATTAACAACTCACTACTGAGACCCTACTGTGTGTAGCACATACATTTCCCTGTACCTTCTGCACAATGGGAAAACGATACATTCAAATGGCTTGGCATTTTTTTTCTCCGAAGGGAAAGCCTATGAAATGCAGTCTCTGTGCATGGGCTAGCAGATGCCAGGAATGCAACTTATTTTTAGAATAATTTTAGGCTCACTACAGAAAACAGTTGAGCGCATTTTCATGAAGTCCTTTGGTTTCCATGGCAAACGGGGCCATTATTTCTTCTGAAACGGAAGGCTTTTACTTACACTTTCCAAATGCTTTTCATATTGTGCCAGAAACTCAAGTCAGTCCAGAAACAAGTACACTAGTGGCTCATTGTTAAAAGCAGTTCTGAAGTAAAAATGTGCAGCAGGTCAGAGTGACCTTCCATTCAGGACCAAGGAGAACAAGGAATAATACACTCCAGGCAAATGGCAGGCCTGCCCCTCGCATGTAGACGTGGGATGGGAGGGCTTGAAGGAGCCTCTGCACTCCATCATGATGAGACCTGAAAACAGGAAGTTTAGCCCTTCTCCATGAGTGCTGTGACGGCTGCTTCTTAACTCACAAGATGTAGGCTCTGAAAACCACTTCTATTCAAACCCATTTAATACCCAATGTGCATTGTGCATATTAAAACATAAGAAATAAAAACTAGGCAATTCTGTGAGCTCTGTTTAATTTCATGACAGGTGATGATATTTCTTCCTTAGAGGATCATGGGATTTTTAATGTCGAATATTAAATGAATCTTGGAAATGCAACTAATTAGACTAATAAATATCAACATGATATTTATATTGTTGACTTTCTTTGCTTATAAAAAAAATTACACAGTTGCTAATGGAAAATCAGTTACAAATGAAAACATCTACATAAAAGTTAGAGATGAATCCCCTCTTCCTTTCAACATAGAATTTAGTCTGTATCGTAAGGAAGTTAAATCTATAGAAATTTTGATACTAAATCACACTTATTCACTTGGTACCAATGCTTATTAGTCCTCTTTTTAACTGCCTCCTTTATGATCTCTATCGATTGCAATGCATCTTTATGGGCATTATACAACCACTGATAGATCACTGATATTTATACATAACCAATACGTAAGTACTCAGAGAGGGGGTATTCAAATATTTCACTCTTCTTCAGAATGGGGTCTGGATGAGCTTGTGGGTGAAGGCAGCAGATCAGGAGCCTCCATTGGCTGGGCACGGGCAGCAGGACAGTCTCCCTCCTGGCACACCTAGGCGCAGCCTCCAGCCTGCACTCCTTAATGCACAGCCTCAGCTCACGAGCACAGTTAGCTCTGTCTTTCTTCTTTCAAGATTCCAAGTGGTATTTGGTGATATCCTGACCCTTGGCTTTACCTCTGTCACTTTCATTTTTGTATAAGTGGAATCATTTTGGACGTATTTTTAAACCATGGCCAATCGAATAGGTGTGTGCTGAGATGGCTAGTACTTCATGTTCCAGAGTGCACATGAATCATGACGAATTGACAGTTCATTTCAGAAATGAGGTGGGTTGACATATGCTGCCTACGTCTCACCCCAGAAGACCCAGGTCAAGGTTCAGTTGTATATATGAAGAGGTGGCTTCACTGTTCTGGTAAATGGCCCCTTCTGTGCCCCACACTGAGCCTTTCTTCCTCCAGAGAGGTATATTTCCTGAAGGTCATAGGGTGGGCATACATTCTTTGGTCAGATTCACTTTCTTTTTTGATCTGAATAGTTTTATTTTAGTATTTAATACTTGGATCTTTTTCTTCTATTGGTTTGTATTTAATCTGTAGCATTTCTCCTTCCTTTTCCCTCAAGCAGGCAAGAATAAAATCCACAGGAGCTACAGTGTGGGGTGGGAGTAACGAGGTACTCCCTTCCAGCCCCTCTGACTGCGGGGTGGGGCAGAGAAGAGAGGAGCAAACAAATACATATTTCTGACCCCTGGATTTCCCTTTCTGTGCAGAAAGTTGACTCTGTTTCTACATCTCTTACACTCATCACCAGGGAAGACTGCGGGGCACGGGCACGGTGGGGGCTCAGACATGGTTTCTGCAGCAGTCCTGCAGGACATTTTTTTTTTTTTTTAAGAGAGATCAGTTTTCTGAGATTTCTTTCACCCCTTCCTCAATTCCTGCTGGAAGAGAACAAATCAGAGCCTCTCACTATCTTTTTGGAGGTGGCTATGTCACAGATGGGCTCACCCATCTCCCACTGCCTTCTGTCATGTGCACTTGAAAACAAGAAATGATGTGCACTTGGGGTGCTGGCTCCTTCCCTGAGTGCCCTCTCCTGGCTCCATCAGTTTTCTGCTCTGGTCTATCTGTGTCCTTGGGAACATGAGCCTCCCAACAGGGAAAGGGCCCGACTTGGTCTTATGAGAGAAAGTCTCTAGTTCTGGGTTAGTGGAGGGAAGAAGTAGTGTGTCACCCCACAAGCATTCCTGCTGTCACCAGTCAGGGGTCTGAGGAGGTCTCTTTGGATCAGAGGAGACCTCTACTGAAGCCCTCCAGGCTCTTGATGGTCATCACAGAAAGAAATTTCAGGACCCATTCAAATTCCATAGCAAGGAGGAGACGTCTTGCAAAAGCTACAGATGCAGTCCAGAGGGGCGTGGGCTACTCAAGGGCTGAGCTGCCCCATGAACGCTGGGTTGTGGTCTAATATTGTTTAAGGGAGTTAATACTTATAGCAGGGATAAAGTTCTCTGGAATTGGGAGGTTCTTTTATGGAACCCTGCTCAATTTCACTGGCAACTAACTGGAGCTAGGGGTGTGTCTGTACATATGATAATGAGTCTTAATGAGTGGAAAGGTAAAGTTTAGTCAGGAAGCCTCAAGTGTACCTGCTTGAGAAACTAGCTGGATCTGGCTCAAGAATGTGGCTACCCTGTGGTTAGGTAGATTGTTCCTTTGTCCAATCAGATGCTGGCAGGGTGCCAGAGCAGGGCCAGAGCGGCTTCTGCCTGGGCTGCAGGATCCTGTGGGTAAGCCCAAGCACCATGGGCCTGAGCCCAGCTCAGGAGCTGTCTTCATGAGCTTCTCCCTCCGATTTCCTCTGCTCCCTCTCTCACCGGGACTTAGGTTCTTCCTTTGCTTTGGGAAGAGGAAACACCCTCTGCTCCACCAAAAGGTGAACACTGTCCCTCCTGTTCCCCCACTGGCACTAGCAGGGACACCATAGTGATGGCTGCGGGGCTCCTGGTGGTGGTCATTGCAAAGTGCAAAGGTGAACTTTGGAGCTTCTCTTTAAATCTCAAAGGAGGTGCCTGGTGGCAACTCAGTGACTCCCTAAGCTGCTACTCTTACTTTTAACTTAGGATCTAGTTAAATTGATGGACTGCGGGGAAGTGATCCCAGGGGCACCCATTGCACATACAGCTATGTCCTCCTCAAGCCAGGACAATCACGATTTCTTCAGAGTGCTAATTCCCAAAGGTTGTCAGAAAATTGAGGGGTGCATTGAACTGGTAAAATTCAGATTAAGATGTGCGTATTGAGACCAGGTAGATCAACACAGTTGTCTTTTGTTGGTGGTGGTGGTGGTAGTTTTTTAGATATATGTGACAGAAGAGTATATTTTGACATATTATATCCATTATGGAGTATAACTTCTTCTAATTAAGATCCCATTCTTGTGGTTGTACAGGATGTGAAATTTCACTGGTCATGTGTTCATATATGAAAGTAGGAAAGTTATGTCTGATTTATTCTACTGTCTTTCTTATTCCCATCTCCCCTCCCTTCCCCCCATTCTCCTTTCTCTAATTCAATAAAACTCTGTTCTTCCCTCCCCTCTTCCCCACCGTGTTCTGTGTTAATATCCACATATCAGAGAGCACATTGGACCTTTGGTTTTTGGAGATTGGCTTATTTCACTTAGCATAATAGTTTCCAGCTCCATCCATTTACCAGCAAATGCCATAATTTCTTTCTAACAGAAGTCATCTTTAAAACTGACACTGTTGCTGGCAGATTTGAGGAGATACAGGAGATGAGGAACTTGCTGGAATCCATATATGTTAGTTTAGACGAATATACTAATGTAGCATAGATCCGCTGGTTTACACAAAAGAAATTTGTTTCCCACAGTTCTGGAGGCTGAGAAGCAACATAAGGCTCAGGGCAACACAGGCCTGGGCCAGTCTTGCACTGGGGTTTGCAGATGGTCAACTTCTCCTGTGTCTTTGCACTGTGAAAAGAGGGAGAGAGAGAGAGAGAGAGAGAGAGAGAGAGAGAGATATCTTTGCACAGACCCCAGCCTCTCCATTGGGAATACACTTATTCTCCTCCCAATGGCCCCATCCCCAAAAGACTATCACACTGTGGGTCAAGGCTTCAATAGGTGAATTTGGAGGCCGCAATTCCCTTCCTAGTATCCTAACATTGATTCCAGCTCTGTACGAGTCAGCATCCCCTTCTCATATATTTCTCTATGAAAGCTTCGTCAAAACCTTCACAAAGAGCAAGACAAACCCATATTGTGGATGTGTGGATGGTGTCATCACAGCCTGTCACGTCACCCTACACCTGTGTAAATTCCCAGCCAGCCAAGGTGTGCCTAATTTAGGATGCTGATTGGCACTTGTCAAGTGCAGGCACGTGATGAGTAGGGAAGGGGTCTGGAGGAAGAAGGCAGGGATGCTGACCAAGAAGTGCTGTGATCACAAAGGTCTCCTGCTGGAGAGCATGGCAGCAGGTCCCCCACACTCAGCGAGAAAATGGTCATCCAGCTGATTTCCATCTAGAAGGGAGTCAGGAGCAGGAGTCTTGTGTGGAAGGAAGACAGAGGCAATGAAGTGACTTACTTTGAACATCATTAAACAGTGTTGTTAACAAGATCGCCCGTTTACCTGGTGGTGGTGTAGGCTAAGATCCATTCCGGGAAGGCCTGATCTTCTAAGCAACCAAACCTCAAAGACAAAAGAAATAAGGGACCAAGCATCATCCCCAGGCTCCACTGTTCAGCCAGGCAGTGTGGACAGGCAGCCAGGGCAAAGGACCAGCCTGTCGAGAACAGCTGGAAGGGACAGAGGAGCATGAAGTGAGCAGAGTGCTCTAGAAAAGGAAGATGAGCCAGATAAAGTGGCCTCCCTGGGGTTTGCAAATGATGTCTGCGAGCAGCTCAGAAGGTTAACTGGCAGAGGAAGAGGCAGCCTCATGAGGGTTGACTGCAACTCAGAAACAGGGGAGGGACCCGTACTACATCAGCAGTATCAATCCCCTTTTAATTTAATAATTACCCTCTTTGTAATGGTGGTTTTCCCCAATTTGAGACGTAAGATTGATTTTTAAAACCCCGATGGCTCATAAAATATAAAACATACAGGTTGGGAAAAGTGATGGGAGACATATTGCCATTTATCTTACAGATGAAGTGCTGAGCGTGTGGAGGGTACGGAGAATTGTGTTATGAGAGCAGAATGTCCGACCAGGGACGTCAACTTTCCTGAGAGGTAGTACTTTTATTTGGATAAAGAAAAGTTCAGAGCACTCACTGGAAAGCCAAGTTTTAATGAATCCCTGTTAATGTTTATTGCTTTCAGTCCTCATTCGCAGCTTCTGGTGTCTCTGCTTGGAATAGCTCATTAACCTTGCCAAGTTTTCTGCATTGAGGCACAGAGAGCCTGGCAGAAAACACAAGGTGCTTGGAGCATTTCAGAAAGAAAAAAAAAAAAGGTATCATTATATATACACATCCTGGCAAGAAGTGGTGGGCACTCTCTTAGTACAGAGCCTAAGAATCATGGAGAGAATCTGATAGTGGGGGGAAAAAAAGAAACACAAAATCTCGAAGTATTTAAGGAGTCTACGTTAATTGAAGAGAAGCATTAAAATCAACTGAGCAATTTGCAGTCATTTCAAGATGTCACTGAAAGAAATGACAGTCAAATTGCTAACAAACTTGGGCTGCCCTCGGCTTATCTCTGCTTGCTAATTTGGTCACATAGAAAGTATTACCTCATAATCAAAGAAGCCAATTAATACAGCTGCCACCAAACAGCAAGGACATGTCCACATCTCATGTGCTAATAGCCTGCCAATAGGAGATAACAAGTCAATATTTGCCCTCAATGTTTGTACGAAAAGTTTTGCCTTAAGATCTTTCCATTTAGCTGGAAGCAGTCAGAGACATTGTAGCTTAGGTTTTTTTCCTCTCTGGTTTTCCTAACAGTGGGAGGGAATTTCCTCCAAGGCCTTATGTGCCATAGCAAACCTTATACAGATATCTGATTCACAGGCAAATTACTCTTCTCTCTTCCCCAGGCAGAGGAGGTGAATAAGCACACTTGTTTTCCTAACACTTGAGAATTTGAAAATGACACTGTGAATCTTATTTTGCAAAATATGGGGAAACATTTTTTTAAGTCAGACTTAAAATATGGGGAAACATTTTTAAAAAATCAGACTTAAAAGTTATTCTCATGAGCCACTTGACATTATATGTCCTGATAGACATGAGAGGAATCTTTAGTATGCCTATGGCCACATTATATTTCATTATTTCCAAGAGGAAAAAAAATTCAGTTTCTAAGAGTATTGAAATATCATTAAAGTGGATGTATGTTGGCTTTAAAATTTAGAACAAAATCTTTAGAAACAAAAAGAAGCAATTTTTGAATAGAATTTCAATGTGAGATTATTCAATGATTCCATATTGAAGAAAATCTATATGAAAGAGACATGTAGACGTGTCTTAAATACATTTGATATTTACACTATCTTTCTCTTAAATTAAAATTGTTTGAATAAATAAAAGCAGTATATTTGTAACAGAGACAATACCAGAAAATGTTTTCCAGTCTCTGCTCTGTAACTTACTAGCTCTGAGTTTTCCTGCAAGTTATTTAGTGAAATTTTTCTTGCTTTAGTTTAGTTATCAACTAAAATAAATAATAATGCTTATGATGTTTGAAAAATGCTAAACAGATCTTCTGGATATACACACACACACACACACACACACACACACACACATATATAGTTAATTATTATTTTTAAATAAAAAACTGCATTCATAAATGTGTATTTACATAATATTAGTTCTTTTAGTTTTGCTCAAGTTTCCTATAGAGACCAAGTGATAAAATTATAATTAGAATGCTCTAGAAGAAAGAATATTTGGGATGTTCACCTAAAGCAAAACAGGTTTGAATTTTAGCACAGACCCTTTTTGGAGAAATTTGAAAATAATAAAATGCATGGGGACTATTTTACAGTGTCTCAGATAAATGATGTTCCTAAGCCAGGATTGGTAACTGTAGGTGGACTGCAAATGAAGTCATTAAGAAATTAGAAGAAAAAAATTTTTTAGGAATACTAGGACATAATAACATAATGATTATAGGCATTAGTTGATTGAGTGTATAAATATATACAGGTCTAAATACACACAGGTAACTTGATGATTAAAATATATGTGAGGATAAAATGCATTTTGAAAGGAGTTTATTTAATATTCTCTTTTTTGGTATCATAAGTGAAAGCAAGATTCTCTTATCCATTATTACCAAAACAGCATTAATTATATTTTTATGCTGTCAAATGCAAGATTTTTCACTGCTTTTAAAAATTATCATCTGAAAAATATACATTGTTGGGTATGATTCAAGTTACACACGGAGTTTTTTTGGAGGAAACTACTTTTCCTGTCATTTTATTAATATATTATGATGTAAGTATCTGTTCTAAGTTACATTCAATTTCTTAAAAATTTTTCCAAGTCCATATACAATTAGTACAATGTGAATTTTTATTCTCACTTAAGGTTTTATTTATTTTCTTTAAAAATAGTGAAGTTACAGTTTCTGTAAGGAAATTGGCAGAAAATTACTTAGAATTGTTTTTTTCTGTGCTTCTCTCTTTCTCCCCTCTCTTCTCCATCTGGGTACTCACACGTACACACACACATATGCACGTACACACACATGTGCACACAAGTGCGCACTAAGCACATAAACTCATACGCACAGCTGGGTAGCACTCACTGGCCAAAAATGAAGGAATGCTGTAACCCATTTTGAATCTCTTCCTGGGGCTTTTTAATGTGTCTAAAATTAGAGAAATCCAAACAAAATTCAGAGCCGCCTCCTTACAGCGACAGCAGTCAATGACCACAGCTGGCAACTTCATGTGCAAAATAAAATGCTGCCGATGACTAGGGTCCACGGTGGAAGCCCAGCTGAAGAGCAGCCTCCTCGCCCACCCAGTATGGCTGGCGAGGTCATCAGGATGCCAGTCAGCTACAGCGACCACGACAATTTTTTTTTTAGCACTGCCTTCTAAGGCACAGAAAACACCTGGTTTGTACCCAACTTTTATCATCTTCTGCTGCTCCTTTCTTTCTTTCTCCTGGGTCTTTTTGTCATCCCCTGTTCTGAGGCACAGAAATCACAGACTCATTCTCCAGCAGCAGTAGTACCACTTTCACAGGAGATCACTGTGGGCTGGTGCACTGGAGAACCCACTTGCTTCCTGGGTGCTGAGGGCCACATTTCATCTCAGATGAGTGACTCCCTACAGAGTTTCACATCATGAAACTGGCTCTGAGGAGCAGCCTAGAGCTTCCATTGTCCAAAACACAACTGGTGGAGGATTCAGAAAGTCTTCTTTCTATGTGACTGACTGACATTTGGCAACATCCTTCTGAATCTCTGGATTCTGCAGAAACTTCCAAATACCCAAAGAAGTGACATTGTATTTCTAAGTGCTTTACAATTGATAGACCTATTTTTTTCAATGCTTTTAAAGTATATGCATTGGCTACTCTTCTTGGATATAAACTACAGTATTGCACATTCTCCAGGTAATTTATATAGAGCCCTGATACTGGATATAAGGTAGATGTATCTTAAAACTCATCAAATCATCATGAAATACAAGTCGTTTGCATTTTAGAAATGTTTACCCAAATCTTAGAGCTATGCTACACTTCTCACAGCAAATTATTTATGACTTACATACAGGAAATCATAAGATGTCTCTGGTCTAACAGGAGTTCCTGCTCCATGGGTGGAATTGGACCGAGAGAGAAAAGGAAGACTTATAGTCCAAACAAAAACGATAATCAGAAAACCTGAGTTCCAGAATCTGTTTAGTCTGGGACTTAATATGTGTAACTTTCAGCAAGTTAATTTTAGGACTTCAGTTTTCCACGTATGAAAGAGAGATAGCAAGTCATATTTTACCTACCTCCATATTATTGTGAAAACTGAAGTAGATATCTGATGTGAAACCATAGTGAAGATTACCAATAACTATAGAAACACCATTTTGGATAATTCAGACTTGCTTCCAAATAGAGGCATTTATTAGTTTGCAATTTTTATAGAAAACCTATTACACGCTAGGCTGTGCACAGACTATTGCATAGGTCTCTCGTTGTCTAATTGTGGGGCCTCTCTGCTTGACCCTCCATTCTTCCTGGAGGCCATTTGTCAAGGCTGGAAACCGTGCATGATAATATTTTCTCAGACCTGCCTCCCACTAGGTAAACTCCTCATTTCCATTTGCATTTTAACATTTTGCTATAGAGAAGAGAGCATGATGGGATAGCCACAACCCATAAGCTTGTAGGGTGTGTTAATGAGGATTAAACATAGAAAAGAACAAGGATCAGGAGACACCCAATATTCTTGAGACAATAAATAAACATAAACCACCAGGGTGCTAGATACCCAATCACTCTAAATATAGCTGAATCGTGCCACACAAAATTTCCAAGAAGTTTGAAATATTCAGGATATGGTAAATAGTCATGGACATCCAGACACAGGCAATCTTGTCTCCGCCACCCACTGGTCATACCCACCCCAGCCTCAGTGTCTCTGCCCAGAACCTGAATAAACCCGTGGCTGTCCAGTAGACTGGTTGTAATCTGCCCATGAGAACAGCATGTGTCATGAGCACCACA